CTGCCTCCGGCCCCCGCCCAGGCCACTGCGGAGCTGCGTCCTTGGCGAGAGGGCTGGCCTGGGGGGCCCCATTCCCCCGCGTCCGCCGACAAGCGAGGAAGGACATTCCCGGCGCCGCCTCCCACCCCTCAGTCTGAGGGAGGCGGGCAGCTAGCTGCTCCCCCCGCCGCTCCCTCCCCCCATCTCAGTATCCAAACGGAAGCGCCAGCCTGGGGTGGCAGGAGGGCTGTGGCGGAGGACGGCAGGGTTTAGGAGATGGGGGCGAATGTGGTTTTGTGTCATCTCAGTGCCACCCCCGCGTCTTGCACCTGCTACTCGCATGGTCTGCTGGCCCGCTGGGGTGGCAGAGGGCAAGGGATAGAGACCTGGGCAGATGGGCGGGGTGGAGGTGGGGGTGGGCTTGGATACTATTTCCTCGGGAGCAGATGAGGGGGTAGCTACTCCTAGAAGTCCCTGCCCCTGGCTTCCAAGGCTGAGATTCCTTGCACGGCCTGGTGTTCAAGGCCAGTACAAAACTGGGCATCTTACCCCGAGGCATCCCCAGGCCGCCTAGTGACTAGAAGCAACTAGACCCGGCTTTTCCTGTGCCCCAGTAAGGCCTGCTTGGGAAGGTGGGCTTGGCATTGCCCCAACTTAGTACAAACCCCTCCTCCCCTAGCCCAGTCTGGCCAGAAAATTGGTTGGGAGTAGTGCTGAGGGGTGGGTGCCTTGATTCCCCAGGTCCCGCTGGTTTCCTGGACTGCCTTCTTGTATTTACTCTGGTGTTTCCCTTCTTCCGAGCAAAGTCAGGTCCAGGCTGATGTGAAACCTCCTGACCTGCTGAGGAAGTGAGGAGCAGTGACCCAAGAGGCTGCTCCCTTCTGTTGTGGGAGGACACTGCCAGTGATGGGACTCAGCAGCTGGCCTGGGGAAGGAAGCCCTGGCCTTTTTCCATCCCCTCTTTAGAAAGGGAGCTATCTTCCTGGGAGACCTCTGGGCAGGCTCAGGGGGTCAGTGAGCTCAAGGGGGACTATGGGCACACTAAGTGTGAGAGTGTGGGGTGCTGTTTTATGGGGCCATAACTTCCAGCCATCCTTTGGACCCCAACAGTTTGAGATTCGCAGATGCTCTGGTGGTTCTGATGGCTCCAAGGCTAGAGCGTTTGGGAATTGTAGATGCCTGGCAGAGGCATGGTACACTGTGAGTAGTTATGACCCTGAGTCCTCCTGTCAGGGCATGCCATGATCTAGAGGGCTCTGAAGAAGCTCTCAGGGGGGTATGTGTCCTTAACCCTAATTAACTGAAAACTATGATCTCCTTGCTCTAAGCATGGGCAGGTCTGGGGATGGAGGGACTAAGAGGAGAGCTTGGCTTCTATATGTTTGTCCCAAGCTGTTCTGCACCTCTGCTGGGTGGGTGTAGCATATTAGGGAGAGCAACTAGGGCTGGTAGGGGGCTGCTTATCATACAACACTGGATTTTAGTGTTGCCTTTGTTTCCTTCTTACTCTCCAACCCATGGTAAGACTTTCCTCACTCTGGGCCTCAGTTTTCTCAACTATAAGGCAAAGAAGTTGGAGTAGAAATGATTTTTGAGGACCGTTCCATCTCTAAATCTGTGGTCCAGATCCTGGGCTTAAGGGACATAAGACAGCATCAGCAAGGCAGTTGTCCTTTCTTCAGTGGTTTGGCTGAAATCTCTGGATGCTCAGTGGACTTGGGGAGGAGTGGTATGTAGCTGGTGTGCTGGACTTTCTAGCTCCTATCCCCAGTCCTTGTCCCACAGAGGCATTTGTGTCCTGGGTACCTCCTTTTCCCCTGATCCAGGATATAGGTCAGGAAGAGGCAGATGATGAGAAGGTGAGGATGAGGAGGTGGGCAGGGTACTTACCCCTCATTCCACCCCAGCACCTAGCATGGTGTCTGGTGTATAGTAGGCACTCATCAAATGTTTGGATGCTTGTCAGGACCCCTGCTGGATATTTGGAGCTATCCCATATCTCACCATATGATGCATGGAGTAGCATTCTCAGTCTGGGAACTGTAGCAGCCCAGGTAACCAGCAGTCTGGGCTTGAAGGCAACCAACATCCTGAAGCCCAGATCCAGAGCCACCCCCCTGGTGTGCGCCTCCTACCTAGAGTGCTAGACGTCTCTCATTGTGATAGGAACCCTACAGTCCCAGCCCTAGGAATGAGGTTGTGGCTTTTTTGTAGTTGGTTAATTTTGGGGGTCACGGAGGTGAAAGGTGAGATGCACTCAGACGCCCAAGGCCCCTATACTCCTCCTGCTCCCAGGCCTGATCACTACAAAGATGGATGGACGGATAAGTGCATGTTGTGAGGCAGCTAGACATGGCATGGCTGCTATGGCAGCTTTTGCCACCTCTTTAGGCATCATCTGTGTCCCTTTCTGCCTTGGGAGGCCAAGAGAGGGGCAGGAGTTAGGCAACCTGGAGAATGTGTATTCCCCCCTTCCTTCCCCTCCACTTAACCCTGTCACACAGTCCTGGCCTTGCTTTTAAGGGCCTACTCCTCCTCCGTGGGCCTCCAGGTCATCCTTTCCATGTTGGCAGCCCTAGGCACAGGAGTAAAGATCTATAAGCGCCTTGGATGAGCAAGTCTTGCCATTTGGGAACCTACAGGCTCATTTGCCTCTTCATAATGTAGATTGTCGTGGAGTGGGGTCAGGGTTGGGTTTTTTTTCTCTTTTATTGAGATATAACATGTATGGCAAAATACCTGTACTTTACTATTTAGCCTGATGAGTTTTTACATGTGTGTATAGTTGTGTATAACCACAATTCCAGTCGAGAGGTAGAGCATTTCCATCACTCTGCAGGGTTTTCTTATGCCCGCTTCCAGTCAGTGCCCCCCACAAAGGTAACCACCATTCTGACCTGTATCCCTATGAATTACTCTTGCTTGCTTTCAAGATGGTGGGCTTCTTGCTTTTCCCTAGTGAGGATCTGATCCCTAGCTCAGGAGAGACTAGTTTTTATAGCAGACCTATTGACCCCAGAGGCCACTTATGGCTTTAAGTGGTGACATGAATTTACCTTAGTAGAGGCCTCCATGGGGTTGGCACTGGTTAACATTATCCCAGGACCCGTCCTGCCACTTGCCTACACATTCCAGACCCCCACCCTGACTGGAGGCAGAAGTCTAGGAGGAGGGTTGGCAGGATACTGAGAAGGTCACCACATCCCCTAGCCCTGTGTTCCCTGTCTCTTCTCCAAAATTGGTCCAGGGAGCCTCTTTGGGACAAGGGTTCTGGGTCCCTTTAACCTTAAACTCCAATAGCCATTTGACTTTTCAGAAACCCTTCCTGGCCTTTCTGCTTAGGACCTGGCCTAGGTGGGGCTTAGGGCTCCTGCTTGGTTATGCCCCTTGGGCATAAGGAGTAGGTAGTAGGTTAGAGTGGGCTTCTCATCTGTGTCATCCAGAACTGAGCTGGCACCAGTGCTCCCCAGACTAGGATAGTGTCCCTTGCCCAACCTTTGTATTTCAGGCCATGTGGAGGAGAGGGAGGACCCTTCCCCCAGCCTATGAGAGTGCAGAGCAAAGCTGTGGACCACATTCTCTGGGTCTTGGTCTCTTGGTCACTGCTATACTCAGGGGTTTGCTATATCTGGTCTGGCCCTGGATATCTTGCCAGTCTTCCTAGGCCTGGCTTCTCTGGTAGGGCCACAGGCCTAGGGTGGGGGTGGAGGCCTCAGGGCAGCCCATTTATGATCCTGGTCTGGGCGGCTCCCCACTTACAGGAAACCCCACCATTTCAACAAGAGGAATTTAGGCTGCGTCATTTCCAGCTTCCTGCCTGGGCTGCCGGAGGTGGCTGGAGGGCAGACCCCTGACCCAGTAGTGTTTGGGAGTGGGGGGAGGGAGCTTTCCATGCCTGGGGTGCCTTACTGCATGGTTAAAGCCAATACTATATATAGTGTGCTTTAGGGCTCCCCCTCTTGGCACAGATGTTGGGTCCCTTTTTCTTGGGCCCCAGGAATCAGCGCCCCAGGAAGGTGTGTGGCGAACACCATGTGTATCCCTCTGTTGCCCTGTTTTGGGGACTCCTTAAAGAAGCCCTGACTCGAAGAGCTGAGCTCCCTCTTTTACTTCTTCTTTCCATGCCATGAGGGGATACTTGCTATGCTGCACCCTGACTCAGAGTCTCCTCACAATTCTCCTGGGAACTTTGATGGAAGTCCTTGCGGAGAAGGGTCTAAGAATCATCTTCTGGTTGGAAAGAATCTTGTTACCCCTGAGCACTAGGGGCCAGGCAGAGAGCCAACACCCTCCTCCCCCAGGACAGGCGGGGGCCTGGGCAGAGCACAGTGTCCTGAGAGAGAGGCTCCCTGCCCCCACTCTCCAGTGGCACACAATGGCTGCTTTCTCCCCCATGACCTTTTCGAAGTCTGAGCTGTATACAGCTGTCTCTTCTCCCTCTCCCAAGGGGTCTGGGATGGGTGGCATCTCCTCTGCTCTTGAAAAGGACTGCAGGGGCTCCCACCCTGATCCGACCTCCCTTTCTTATTTCCAAAGTTCACTTCTCCCCAGGGAGTAGAGAGTGGCTCCCAGAGCCCTTGCCCACTGGGAGCTGCCCGCTTCATAGCAGAGGCAGAGGGACAACAGAGTTATGGACATGGCATAGTCTCTGGTATCTAAGTGCCTGGGTCCACACCCCAGTGTTCTCACTCATTAGCTGTGTGACCTTGAGCAAGTGCTCTAACCTTTCTTGAGCCACTGTCTCCTTGTTGGTAAAGCAGAGATAGAGCATTCCTTACCTTGCCTGACAATTATAAGAGGCATCATACATAGAACACCCAGTTGTACACAGTGGGTGCTCAATCAGTGTTAGCTCCTTTGCTCTCTCCAGCCCCCTTAAGAGGGGCTCCAGCTCTTTCCATCAGTGATGGTGACAGAAGGCTTAGGCATGAAAATGCCTCTTGCCTGCCAGGACAAGGGCAGAGTCAGGAACCCGTGGAGGGGTGTGGTGGGCCAGGCGGGTGGGCTGGTGGCACCCGCCTAGGGATATGGTATGTAAGCATCAGGGTTGCATCCCCTAGGGAATTCCTGCCTCCCTGGGGGGAGGGCTAGGGGAGCAGTCTTGTTCCCTGGGGAAAGGCTGTGGGACTGGTAATGGTGGCTGTAGGATAGGAAACTGACCACTGAGTAGGCCCTGGGGACCACACCTTCTCAGAGGGGAAAAGATATGTAGGAAAGGACTTGGCTCAGTCGGTCACCAGCTTTGAGCCTTTGGGGAAATCCCTCCCACGGCCTTAGCTCAGCTTCCTCATCAGTAACCTGTGCCTACTGGGTGAGTGAATGTGTGTGGAATACTAAGTGCAGTGCTGGCCCAGAGCGGGTGCTCAGAGGGTCTCGCCTGAGTCTGGCTATGGCTCATCCTTGCTCCCAACCCTGCAGACCCTGGCTGGGCCTCCATCAGCAGGGGTGTGCTGGTGTGTGACGAGTGCTGCAGCGTGCACCGGAGCTTGGGACGCCACATCTCCATTGTCAAGCACCTTCGACACAGCGCCTGGCCTCCCACACTGTTGCAGGTATGGAGCGTGACCAGGCGGTTCCTCCCCCACAGAGTGTGCTGAGCACAGGCACACTTTCCTCACACCCACATATACACCTATCTGGATTCTGCAGCTCCCAGGGGGCAGCACCCACCTGGGGCAGAGCCTAACCCCGACTCTTTCTACCCACTCGCCTATGTAGAAGAGAGATGTCCAGGACTGGAGTCAGACAGACCCAGACTCTCACCCCAGCTCTGCCACTTACTAAGTTGGCCATGTCGCATTGAGCAACGCATTTAACCTCTCTGAGCCTTGGCATGCTAACCATGCAACCTAAAGTGCTAAACAGGACCCACATCTTTGTGTGGCTTGACTGGATGGAGGTGCAGGGGTGACAGGTACACAGTAGGCTCCTTAGTACTATTTGCAGCCACACTGGCTGCGGCTGGTCCCCAGCTCATAGTACCCAGAGCGCTCTCAGTTGGCATCTTCTCCTTGCAGATGGTGCACACACTCGCCAGCAATGGAGCCAACTCCATCTGGGAGCATTCCCTGCTGGACCCCGCGCAAGTGCAGAGCGGCCGGCGCAAAGCCAACCCTCAAGACAAAGTCCAGTGAGTCAGGCTGGAGGGGTGGTGGCAGGGGCTGTGTGGTCTGGGACGTGGGCCCAGGAGGTGGCTGGGTGATTAGCCTCTCCCACTCTGCTCTCCACTTTCTCCTGTGTGCCCCACACAGCCCCATCAAGTCGGAGTTCATCAGAGCCAAGTACCAGATGCTGGCATTTGTGCACAAGCTTCCCTGCCGAGATGACGATGGGGTCACTGCCAAAGACCTCAGCAAGGTTTGAGGGGCCCCACAGTGGATGGGTGGGCTTCTCTTCTCCTTCTCACCTACAGTGCCCTGAAGGCCTCTCCTTCACCACTGAGGCCTAGGCCCCAAAGGCAGCCAGATCAGGCAAGAACAGTGGGCACGGTGGACGGACAAGACTGCACGGTCTGGCTACATGTGATCAAGTTCCCTCAGCTCCTAGAATACAGGCTAAAATTCCCTAGCTCTCACCCAAAAGGTGGGAAAACTTGGGGTAGTTTCCTAGCCTGTCAGAGCCTCAGTTTCCTCATCTGTAAAATGGGAAAGAAATAACGGCATCTACCTCATAGAATGTCTGTTCTAAGCAGAGCATGCAGCACGTGGTAGATGGTGACAGACGACAGCTATTATTCGTTGGTATTAACTCCTAGTGGGAAGACTTTTTTCCTTCCTGACAACCCAGTTTCAGCTGGGCCCTTGGAGCTTGTAGGAGTGCAGCTAAAGGAGGGGAGGGGCCTCACACACACATTTGTTGCACACTCTGCTCCTTGCAGCAACTGCACTCGAGCGTGCGGACGGGCAACTTGGAGACATGTCTGCGCCTGCTGTCACTGGGTGCCCAGGCCAACTTCTTCCACCCAGAGAAGGGCACCACGCCTCTGCATGTGGCTGCCAAGGCGGGGCAGACACTGCAGGCTGAGCTTCTTGTAGTGTATGGGGCTGACCCTGGCTCCCCTGACGTTAATGGCCGCACACCCATCGACTATGCCAGGTGAGGGTCGGCTGAAGGGTGAAGCTTGGGTGGGCAGGGGAGTGGACTGCTGCTGCAGGCTGAGCCATGCCCCCTCCCCACAGGCAGGCGGGGCACCATGAGCTGGCTGAAAGGCTAGTCGAGTGCCAGTATGAGCTCACTGACCGGTTGGCCTTCTATCTCTGTGGACGAAAGCCTGGTGAGCAGAGTTCAGGGCGGGCCTGGCTGTGCCAGGCAGGTGGGACCCAGACACACCCCAGCAGCAGGTACCATGGTGACAAAGCCAGCTGGGGAACAGTGTTGCTAGGCAACTGGCTCCTGTGAAATTGCTGCAGGCACTGGGCTGCGTACTTTGGGGTAGGGAGTGGGGGTGGGCATAACTTCCAGCCAGCTCCCAGGGCTCTTGGGGGTGGCCTGCCCTCCTTCCTTTCCCTGACACTCCTGAGTGCCAAGCCCTGTTCATGACAGTGAGGTGGGCTTCCAAATGCTAAGGCTACCCAGCACCAGTGACTTGGCATTTTTATTTTTGCTCAGATCACAAGAATGGGCATTACATCATCCCACAGATGGCTGACAGGTAAGTGCCCACCTGAAACCTCTTCCCAGAGGTTGTTAGAAGCCCTGTGGGTGCCTGACCCCCAGAGGCCCGACCCCTCCTACTCCCCAGGCTTTAGGGGCTTGGGACCCCTCCCGCCCCCCCGCCCCGACCCCCTCACCCCCATCATGGGCTGGAGACGCCCCGACCCCCTCACCCCCATCATGGGCTGGAGACACAATTATTTCACAAGCCATTCCTCACTCCTTAATGCTGGGCCCCAGGGCAGGTAAGAAGTGTCAATTCAGCATATGGCCATCAGAGCCTGAGCCCCTCCTGTCAAACACATAGGGCTTGAGTATAAGAAGCACCTCCAGGAGAAGTGGATCACTGGGTTCTGTTCCCAGTGGCTCTGATAAACTTCTCTTCAGTGCAAAAGTGGTGGGTTCCAGATATTTGACTAACTTTGGGACTACTGGCCAGGACTCTGTAGTGTGCTCAGAAATTGGGCAGGGGCCCGGAGCCAGGGCATGGCACAATTTAGGTGTTTCTGCCTCTAATCTGCCAGGCGGCAGGTGCTCAGGCTGTGGGGAACACCCCCGCCCCCCAATCCCTCATCCAGCTCACAAGATGGGTGCTGGCGCCCCCTGGTGGCCAGCTCTGATGGCCACGTCTTCATGCCAAGCAATGCCTGCTGGCCTGGATCTGGAGAGGATCCAAAGGCCAGTGTGTGCAGATGGGGATGGTCAGGCCTGGACACCTCAGATCCCTGAACCCAGACCTCTGTTTTGAAATGCCAAGACTCCCCACTTCTTCTCTGGTCTGATTCTGCTTGGTGTGTGTGCCTGTGTATGTGTGTTGGTGGTGGCGGGGGTGCTATAAACCCATATGGGCACGTACCCAATGAAATGTTAACCAGGCATCTTCCCAGTACCCGCTGCTGTTCTTGGCACTGGGACACAGAGGTAACTCAGACATGATCCCTGCCCTAAAGGAGCTCACAGCCGCGTCAAACAGTTGTAGTTCAGTGTGGGAGATACAGCAAGAGAGACAAAGTCATAGATGTTAGACATGCTATGCCAGGAACTGCAGGCAGACTGAGGCTGGAGCACAATGTGAGAGGCGGAGAATCCCAGGAGCAAGACTGGAATAGAGATGGGGTCCGAGAGTGGCAAGTCCTGCGAGCCTCAGCAAGAACTGTGACCACCCAAAGGGCAGACAGGGTCCAAGCCTGGATGTGTGGAGTCAGCTCTGCTGTTTACTGGTTGTGTGACTTCAGGCAGTCTACTTAACCTCTCTGAGCCTTAGTTACCTTTCCTGGAAATGAAGGCAACAGCCTGTCTTTCTGAGCTTTTGAGAGGATTAAATAAGATAATGCATACAAAGCACTTAGCATATTTTTTAAGTGAGCTTTTTGTTAAAATATGCTGTGCAAACCTGTTGTTATTGAGATGTTTCTATGGCCAGGAGTAATATAGCCAGATGCGTTAAAAAGATTACTCTGGCTGCTGGGTGGAAAAAAGGATTGTAGGGGCAAGACTAGGAGTAGGAAAAGGATTAAGGAATTATTGCTAAAGCCCAGGCAAGAGGAATAATGGCAGAACCTACGGAAAGCCTGGCAAAGGCTTGAGGGTGAGGGAGGTTTCAGGCGACTGCCAGGAGTTGATGTTGGTGCTGGATGAGTGGGTCACCGAGAAGAGGAGTGAGCCGTTCAGGAGCAGGGTGCGGGGGGGGAGATGTGTTCAGTCTTGTGCACTCTGGGCCTGGTGTGCACACGGAGATGGGTCTGAGCTTGATGTGGGAAGGCATGTGCTGCCCTGCTCCTGGGTAATTGCTACCTCTGTCCTGTTCTTCCTTCTGCTGCCTTCCTCTGGACTTAGATCTCGGCAGAAGTGCATGTCTCAGAGGTATCTGGCGTCTGCCGTGGGAGCAGGCTCTGGAGGTCGGGTGGGGCAGGGTGGAGCTGCTTGTGTGACATCTGGGGTCTTTTCTCCCTGGGATCCCTGCATGTTTGGGAGGTCATTGGCAGGGGCCTGGCCATCTCTCATGTCTGGCCTCTCTCCTCTTCCCCATTCCGGTCTTCCACAGCCTGGACCTGTCCGAGTTGGCCAAAGCAGCCAAGAAGAAGCTGCAGGCGGTGAGTCTGCTCAGACAGGCCCGCAATAATGGCAACTGCTCTCATTTCTAACCCCCTACCCCTGCAATTGCTCCCCCTCCCTCTGACCTGGTGCCCTTTTCCAGGTCTTCGACCTGCCCTAACTCTGGCCTCCTCCCTCTTTTCCATCTCCTTAGTCTCCTTTCTTCACCCTCCCACCCCTTGTCTTTGATGCTGGGTTTGCCTTCCAAAGGCGCCCAAGGCCCTAGCTCTTCCTCTGACCTACAAGGGCACTAGCTGGTTGCTCTAGTCTCCCTTCTGTCCTCTCCCACCTTGGAGCTTGGCAGACAGACCCCTACCACTGTTTCCAGTTCTGAGATTATGGGGACTGGGTGGCATAAGGGACACAAGCCATTTCCCCCGTCTTAGGACATCCCGGTGAGCCAGCCCTGTTGGCGCTGAGGGCCAGTTGATCTGACAAAGCCTGTGTCCCCCTCTGTGCCTCTAGCTCAGCAACCGGCTTTTTGAGGAACTTGCCATGGATGTGTATGACGAGGTGGATCGAAGGGAAAATGACGCAGGTGAGCCGGAAGGGCATCGGAGGCTTTGGGCAGATGGGGAGAGAACGTGGCTGCTGGGAAAGGGCTAGGACCTGGTGTGGCTCTTGGGTTCTTTTACTGAAACGAAGAAGGAGTGCCTGGGGTTGGTCTTATTGACCTGCATATAAAACCCTGCCAGCTGTGAGCCCACCTGGGCAGCTTCCCCAGCCAGGCAGAGTACGTTGAGCTAGAGGCAGCCGGCCTGCTCCTCCCACCGCACCCTGGACCAGCGCTCATCTCTGCTCTGGCTGCCTCCCATTTTGGCTCTCTCCCCAGTCCTACTCCACCCCTCTACATCACTCCTTCCTGGCCACAGCCAGATTCCAGCCCAAATTATGGGCTGGGCTTGGCGTGCGGGAGTCGCCTTGTTCTGTCCGTCAGTTCCCAGCTGGCCTTGCCCAGCCTTGCTTCGCCTGTCTAAAGACCACCCGTTTTGAACACCAAGCTTGGTGGGTGTGGGGAGGAGCTAGGAGAGCACTGCTCAGCGCTTCTCTTGTTCAGCCCATGGGCCTGGCCACTTTGGACAATCTGCTTCCTGCCCCTCCCCCACAGTGTGGCTGGCTACCCAAAACCACAGCACCCTGGTGACGGAGCGCAGTGCTGTGCCTTTCCTGCCTGTTAACCCTGAATACTCAGCCACACGGAATCAGGTGAGGGGGCTTGGTGGGGAGCCTGGGGTGGTCTTCTTCCTTCCTGGAGTTGCCAGCTCTGTGGGCCCTGTCCTTCGTCACTGGCTGTTGCCTGGGACAGACCCTAAGCTGGGGCCTGTTATTCTCCATCCCTGGCAGAGGCCTCCCTCCAGGCCCAGCTGGCACTGGGATTTGGGAGTGGGTAAGAGGCTGTTCTTTTGAGCACTTGGTGAACAGTCTCTGGGCGGGGGATATTCTAGTCCCTTCTTGAGAGCTCCCCGAGGTACCCTGAATCTGTGCCATCCCTCACCCCCTGCCCTGGCCAGGTGAGCCGGGCTGGGGTGGTTTAGCTGTGGATAAAGCAGAGAGCTGACAGCAGATAGCAGGGGGCCCCCTCATGCCGGCCTGGCCCTTTCTGCCTCACAGGGGCGACAGAAGTTGGCCCGCTTTAATGCCCGAGAGTTTGCCACCTTGATCATCGACATTCTCAGCGAGGCCAAACGGAGACAGCAGGGCAAGAGCCTGAGCAGCCCCACAGGTGGGAAGGGCAAAGGTGGGGGTGCAGGGGGAGGGCACTGTCCCAAGATATCCGTTTGCATAGCTCCTTTTTGGGGGTGGCATGATAGATTGGTGGTGTGGCTGAGCCCTGAGTGACAGGTCTGTGCCCTCAGACAATCTCGAGCTGTCTGCACGGAGCCAGAGTGACCTTGACGACCAGCACGACTACGACAGTGTGGCCTCAGACGAGGACACGGACCAGGAGCCCCTGCGCAGTGCCGGCGCCACGCGGAACAATCGTGCCCGGGTCTGAGTGCTGCCCCTCCCCAGGCCCGCCAAGGCCAAGCTCTACCCTTTTGTAGCCAGGGCCTGGGTGACAAGTGGGCTGGGAGCAGCCCTCTGAGGGCATTTGTCCCCTGCCCCTGATGGCTGACCAGCTTATGTCTCACTCTGCAGAGCATGGACTCTTCGGACCTGTCCGATGGGGCCGTGACGCTGCAGGAGTACCTGGAGCTCAAGAAGGCCCTGGCTACCTCCGAGGCAAAGGTGCAGCAGCTCATGAAGGTCAATAGTAGCTTGAGTGACGAGCTCCGGAGGCTGCAGAGGGAGGTGAGGGCTGCTGCTTTGGTGGGATTGGGGGCTCCCAAAGTACCAGTGGGGAGATGGGGGTGCTGCCTAGACCCTCTGGAGTTTCTGACACCACTCCACTCTCAGATCCACAAGCTGCAGGCGGAGAATTTGCATATCCGGCAGCCACCAGGGCCAGTGCCCACACCCCCACTCCCCAGCGAACGGGCAGAACATGCGTCCATAGGGCCTGGTGGGAGTGCCCACCGCAGGGACCGCCAGGCCTTCTCCATGTATGAACCGGGCTCTGCCCTGAAGCCCTTTGGGGGTCCACCTGGAGATGAGCTTGCCACTCGGCTACAGCCTTTCCACAGCACTGTGAGTTGCTAGCTGGTCTCAAAGGGGTAGGGAAACAGGGCTGGGACCACCACAGGGCCCTCCATGATACCCACTGTGCTTACCCCCAGGAACTAGAGGATGACGCCATCTATTCAATGCACGTTCCTGCTGGCCTTTACCGGGTAAGCAGGGCCAGGGGCAGGTGGGTCCATTTCTGCAAACAGGTTCTGAGCCCCGTGGGTGCCAGGCTTTGTGCTGGATCCTAGGCACAGGGACGACTAGATACACACAGTCCCCACCCTCAGTGCAGGGAAGCTGGAAGGTGAGTGGCAGAGAGGAGGAGAGACTGACTCCAACCCTCCTGGGTTTCAGATCCGGAAGGGGGTGTCGGCCTCAGCTGTGCCCTTCACTCCCTCCTCCCCACTGCTGTCGTGCTCCCAGGATGGAAGCCGCCACACGGTAAAGTCCCATCCCGTGCCCAAGGGACGGGCTAAATGAGATGTGCGCATAGAAGTGATGGCTGTGTGGGTCTGTGAACGTGCACCTCACCTACCACGCCTTCCCTGTGCCCCCCAGAGCAAGCTTTCTCGCCACGGCAGCGGTGCTGACAGTGACTATGAGAACACGCAAAGTGGGGATCCACTGCTTGGGTGAGGCACCCTGGCAGAGGGAAGCTCAGGTGGGCCTTGGAGTGTCTGTGAGGGCACAGGCAAGAGGCCTCACTGCTGGAATGTCTCTCTTTCTAACCCTGGACCGCAGACTGGAAGGGAAGAGGTTTCTAGAGCTGGGCAAGGAGGAGGACTTCCATCCTGAGTTGGAAAGCCTCGATGGAGACCTGGACCCTGGGCTTCCCAGCACAGAGGACGTCATCCTGAAGACGGAACAGGTCACCAAAAACATTCAGGAATTGTTGCGAGCTGCCCAGGAATTCAAACATGACAGGTATGGGGATGGGGTACAGGCTCATGTGACCTCTGGGTGTTGCAGAGGTCAAAGGAGGGGCCAGTGCCCTTCTAATTTTTATACCCTCCCTTTCCTCCACAGCTTTGTGCCCTGCTCAGAGAAGATTCATCTGGCTGTGACCGAGATGGCCTCTCTTTTCCCAAAGGTACAGGAGCTGGAGTGAGGAGCAGGATTGGGAGGGCCTCAGGATGGGGCAGGTTTAGAGAATCTGCTACCTGGGTGGAGTCACAGACACACTGGGCCTTGCTCATGGGTCATGGTTTGAAGTCCGAGGCCTAGCTCCTTCCTCCTCCCCAGAGGCCAGCCCTGGAGCCTGTGCGCAGCTCTCTGAGGCTGCTCAACGCCAGCGCCTACCGGCTGCAGAGTGAATGTCGGAAGACAGTGCCTCCAGAGCCTGGTGCCCCCGTGGACTTCCAGCTGCTAACTCAGCAGGTGATCCAGTGCGCCTATGACATCGCCAAGGCTGCCAAGCAGCTGGTCACCATCACTACCCGAGAGAAGAAGCAGTGACCACTCTCCCTGCACCCTCACCTACACCCTGGGACCTCACTGGCCAAGGGAGCTGGGCCACTCCAGACACTAATCCCCACCCCAACAGAGCCGCTGGCGCAAGTGCCCTTAGTGCTGTCCTCTCCCCTGGCAGCCAGGCGCCCTGGTGCCCGCCCCCCTCAAGCCCCCAAGGATGGGGAGGTGGGGTGACAGGAGCTTCTGTCCCCTACATTCCATGTACCTCCCCCCTGTACATAGCATCCCCTCCCTTTCTAGTGTGCAGGGACCTGTAAGGCATCACTTCCAGCCCCTTGCCCTCTGGGGCACCCTTAGCAGAGGGTCAGGTGGGGACACTCTGAGTGGGGCAGTTCCCCCTACATACACCCACCCCCATGAGCCAGTTCAGCCCTATTGGGGGCTGAGTGGGGCATCCCCCCTTCTTTGTACATAATCTCTGTGGATGTCCTCACCCTGTAGCCACCAGCCCCCATGCTGCTCTCCTTTAATGCCAAACGGCCCCTGCCTAGGGCACAGGCTCCAACCTGTGTTCCCGGGGTCCCCAGCAGCAAACACTGGAAAATCTTTTTTTTTTTTTTCTCTCTCCTCTATTCCACCCCTTAATTTTAACATTGTGGTAACTGAGTGTCCCTGCGTGCCTGTGTGTGAGTGTGTGGGACGGCAGTGCCGTTCCGGAGGCCTGGCCCATCTGGAGTTTTGTGAGGGGTGAGGGAACCAGAGCAGTAGGACCAGCGTTGGGGGGTCAGTCTCCCCTCCCCCATTCTGGGGCCAGGGACTTGCAGGGTAACCTGCTGGGGTCCTGCCCACTGTCTCCCCTCATCACTCCCACCACTCATGCCCCTTCTCTATGAACGTAAAACCACTTCCTTCCATCTCTCCGCCCCCTCCCTGTGGAGGGCACTGTGTGCTGGCTGGGGCAGAGTACTGAGCTCCTGAGCCTGGGGCTGGCTCCCCGGGGGTCCCTGACTTGGCTGAGAGGCCCCTCCCTATAACTTCTGAGAGGCCAGCACCTGTGCCTGCAGTATCTGGGTACCTGGAACCCAGGCTGCAGCCTGGGAAGGCTGGAGAGGCAGATGGTAGCACCCACCAGCTCTTCTCATTGTCCTGCCTCTGTCCCAGGGGACCAGGCTCTACCTGTGTGGTGGTGGGTGGGCTGTCAAGATGTGTGTCATGTACATTTGTATCAAAAATAAATAAGTGACCATGTGCTGTTTCTGATGCCTAGAGAATTGAGGAGAGGGGAACTGGGGAGGTGGCAGATATGAACTGGAGAAAGACAAACCCAGCAAGGACATGAAGCAAATGAAGGCTGCAACTGCTCCAGACTCTGCACTGAGGAAAGGGATGTCTTAGAAATGGAGCTTAGAAATAACAGTGTTTCAGTGAGTCACACCCCCCCACACACACTCCCCCATACTTCTAAAACTTTGCCTAAGACCTGGTTGGTGGTGCCCAATTTGATTTTACAAACATTTCAAATGGTCTAGGACAGTGTCCTGAGATGGGCATGAGTTTGTGTGGCAAGTGCATGAACTGGACTCCAGGCTCTACTAAAATAATTTAATTAGAAATACAAGGAGTTTTAGTAAGGGAGACTGAAACAGCTTTTTCTCCCCTGGCTACCTCTCCCCACTAACCTTACACATTAAGGAAGAACCCCTCTGCAAATGTTTAAGCAGGCCTGCTCCATCTGGCCACCAGAGGGCAACACTGGGTGCAATCCACGTGGCAGAGGTCGTGGCCTTCTGGCCGGAGGAGGGGCCGAACCTGCCACAGTGGCAGGGCTGGGTCAGGTCAGTCGGAGCTGTCCCCGTCCGGGCCGCTGTCCGGCGTGGGTGGGAGGAGGGGTCTCCGGCGCGAGCGCTTAACCCGGCGCGGAGGCATCAGCAGCCTACTCTTCAGCACAGCTATGAGCAGAGTGGGGAGCAGTCAAGGGCAGGGGAGCCATGGGGGGCAGGGAGGGGCTGGGGTGAGTAAGGAGGGGAACTCCTCACCAGCGACTGTGTCCTGGCTGTCCACTATGGGCCCCCAGTAGATGCTCTCCCCGCGTCGGAAGTTTCGGTGCAGCCGAGTGCAGAGTGTGGCCAGAGTGAGCAGCACCAACAGGAAAGTCAGGGCCATGGCAGCCCAGGCAGCCTCTTCCGTGCGTGGGGTGGGGCCCCTGGCCCCCCTCGGAGGTGCTGCTGCCTGAGGGGCCCGGGAAGCCTGACTTGGACAGGCACAGCCACCTGGGCTGCTTTGCGCTTTGGGTACCTGAGCCTCTATCCTGGAGCTGGCATTGCCTCCAGGCCTCCCAGGCAGCAGTGCGGCAGTGGGCACAGAAGGGGCATTACCCTGCTCACCCGGGGTTCCTAATATGGGCTGCCTGGCCTCCAAGCTCCATGGGAATGCGGAGGGGAACCTCAGGACTGAAGGGGTAGGCTGGAGACCAAGGGCAGCCCGCAGCCCACGCCTCTTGGCACCACCAGGAGAGAGCTGCCTGAACCCTCTAGATGCCACCTCTCTGCCTGGGGGCCGCCAGCTCCGCAGAGTAAAGGCCAAAGCTGGGGCCTAAGGGAAAAAGAAACAGCACTCATATTTCCCCTGCCCAGATAACCCAATGATCATACCAACAACCAAGCCTGGGTCCAACACCCCTCACCTGCACACACCCTCTCCGAGACGGCTTCCCTCTGCCCGGTGTTGGCACTAAGGGAGAGGGCTCAGAAAGGCTGTCAGAGTGGAACCCTGCCTTTTCCTTCCTCTGCTTCCTCCTCCGCCTCCTCTTCAGCCAGTGGGCAGCCCAGGCTGGCTCTACCCATGCCATCTCCAGCGCCACTCCCCATGCTGCCAGCACCAGGGGCTATGAAAAGAGGTAACTGTTAGAGCTAAGATGAAGGTGGGAGTGAGCAAAAGGAAGCCCCTGAATTTTCCTTTCCCTGTACATGGGGCTGCAGCCTCTGCTAATGCCAACCACCTTTCGCCAACCACTTACCCGATCCCTAGTGAGGCTGAAGTCAGGGGCCAGTGAGGGCTGGGCCACACAAACATGGGCCAGAAGGGCAAGCTGGAGCTTCAGCCAGGGGTGGGCACAGGGATGGTAGAGGAAACTGACATCCTCAGCCTGGAGGAAAGGCATAAAAATATCAAGCCAGGCCCCAGGTCTCTCCCTGAGAATCATAATTGTATCCTGGGGGCCAGCTTAAAGGAACTTCCAGGATGGCCACATGACCCTTCCACCATCAGGTCTCAGGACAGAAAGTACTGGCGTGCACTGCCTCTTGCCTCTGAGTGTTCCTTTCACCCCTCTTCCATTAAGTGCCACCCCTCAAAGTTCACAACTCCCATGACAGCATGTCTGCTTAACCGTGTCAGACTCCGACCACACTCTTTAGCTGTATTTCTCTGTACCTGCAATGATGGCTCTACAGGTCCCCAGTCTAGACTGTAAGCATCCCCTTGATGGAAACCAGATCTTCTATTCATTGATCTTATCTATATATTTCTCCCCAAAGCATCCAAATACAGGGCATGCAGGCAGCAGGTGCACAATCCCAGGATGGAAATACTTTGTCAATTACTAATTATTCTTTGACCTGACCTGATGCTCAACACTGTGCCAGATGCTATAGGAGATGCCATAAGAGAACTCCCGGACTCTGTCTGCACAGAATGTAAAGGAAACTCAGGGAAACAGAACCAATGCAAATGAAAGAGCAAACTAATAAAACTCAAACTGATTAGTTGTTAAATTCTAAGAAATAGGTTGTAAGCATTACATGAATATGGAGAAGGTGATGAGTAAGGGCTGATGTGATCAGGCAAGGTCTCATGGGAGAGCTGACCTGTACTGCGCTTGGAAGATGGATGAAGATGAATGGCAGAGGCCAGGGAGCTGACTGCTTCAGCTTTGGGTCAGGACGGGCCAGGTGTAGAAGAGAATATGAAGGAGCAAAAGTACAGCAGTGAAAAGAGCCTGGCACTCGCATGTGTGGTAGGCGAGCAGACCAACACGACTGGAGAGAAACCACAGATTTGGAAAGGTCAATCGAGGCTGACTTAACTAGGTAGGGCCTGAAAAGCCAGGCAAGGAAGTATAGCTAAGATAAGGTGGGGAATAAGGAGCCATCGAGGGTTTCTGAACAGTAAAATGATTTAATGAAAGGGATGTCTGAGGAAAGGAATCAGGTAGGTGGCATGAGGTCTCTTGGCCTGGAGCTATTACGAGGATCAAAAAAGTGAGATGGTTCAAAAGGAAAACTAAAGGGGACAGGGAAGCTATGACTGGTTACAAAAATAGAGAGGCAGCCATACAAAGTGAACCCACAATTTGGAACCTGGTAACCCGAGGCACACTCTTTAAACGATACAGCTTTATATTTTCCAAAGTGTTATCACACACTATTCATTTACTCCTCATGGGTACGGACATCACTAATATCCTCTTACAGAAAACTAGGGCCCAGAGAGGTCAAGAGACTTCCCAAAGGCACACAGCAGAGTTGGGGCATGAGTTTTTTCCCTACTACCCTCAGAATTCCCTTGCAGCCTCCTGCGCACACAACCAGCTACTCAACAGCATTCCTGACACAGCACAGCAGAGGACAGAGACCTGTGGCTCACTGTCTTGGGACCAAGAACATTGCCTCTTCGTGACGAAGTGGTAAAGAATGGAGCTAGCGAGCAGAAAAGGCGGAGAAACCCTGCAAGGAGCTCCATGTTTCCCGTGCAGACATCAAGGATGGCTCCTGCTGGTACTTACCTGCCATGTGCTCACCCGTGTGTAGGTCACTCTTGGTGACACCTGTACATGGGGAAAGAAGAGAACTTAAAGTAGCTGGGAGAGTCTGTGTGGGGGATGGGGAGGGGACAGCAGGCCCCATGCCTCCAGGTTTGGATGGGGCGACTGAGGGCTGGAGGAACCGGCAGAGGTCCTCAGAGGGTTACTCGGAGGGTGCAAAGTGGACAGAGTGGGACTGGGCTACCCCTTTGACACCCTCTCCCACCGTCCTGCAGGCTCCTACCTGAGGGGGCAGAGGCCACAGGCCCTCAGGACAACGGGCACCTGCCTCCTCCGCCGGCTCAGCCACCACCTGTGGGTCCAAGACGCGGAAGAGCTGGGGCGCTGGCCTCGGCGAGGGCCCTGCCCTCCCTCTCCCCAGGACCAGCCAGCCACTCCTTCCAGGAAGAACTTTTGGCAAAGCGCTGAGATCCCGGGCCGGAGCCTTCTCAGGATTGGGTCGCCTCACCTCAGTGGGACTCAGGATCCCGGCCAAGGCTGCAACAAGGAGCAGCTGGGGCGAAGGC